ATCCGCGATCAAACGGATTAAAATCCAAACAAGCATTGTTTCCAGCTCTCTCATTTGATGCATTAAAACGATTTATCCAATAATAAGCTATTAAACTGTTTACGTTACATTAAAAGCAGCATTATTTGTCTTACGGAGGCTTCAAAGTCGATTTCACTTTAACGATTTTACATCATTGGCAAGGAAAATGAAAAGCTTCCTAGCCTCGTTGTAATCATTTTTATGCGCTGAGAGAGGAGGAAATGGTTAACTTCATTTGAAATCAATTCCAGCACTAATCGTATTTTTTTATTAAGTATATTTGAGATATACAATTAAGCAGAGAAAAGCCGATAAAAGCCATCGCGCATATTGATGCAAAATTTAAACTTTATTTTGGAAAACTTCATCTTTATTTTTAGCATTGTTATATTTCCGAGATAAGGTTCATATTTCAATATCCGCGATTCTCTCTCATTGATCTTTCTCTGCTCTAATTAATTGCATTTTTTTTTATTTTCAACTGATCTCAAAGAAAGAAAGTTCTCAATTTGTTCTGTATATATTTGTATTTGTATGTTTCCTCGTAACTCGAGAACCGTTATAGATATTGAGGTGAAACATTTTGTAATTTGTTCAGTATGTTGTCCACATAGTTCTTAGATTAATGCCATTACCCGGGTTCGTCTAAGTGATCTATGGAAATCGGATAATTCCATGATTTCCTTGAAAATCTGAGAATATCAAGAGATATAAAATGAAACCTTTATTTTTAACCGTTTCCAAAAGCAGATTTTTAATAAAGAATCAATAAATACGCAATAAAAAACTATTTTAGGAAAAATAAACGTCTTCAGAGACCTCAAAGACTAAAAAATATGAAGACAAATTAAGTGTGTAACTAATTACATAATTGTAAGGAAAAAAATAAAAGTCATAATTATTAATTCGTTAAACAAAAGTCACAATTATTGATTCACTTAATAAAAGTTAAATAAAAATCATAATTATTCTTCATTTTTCCTGAAACAGTTTTTACTGCGTATAGTTGTTCATTAAAAGTTTGTATTTGAACATGGTTAAAAATAAAAGTTTTGTCTTGTATCTCTGGATGCTTTCGAATTTTCGAGGAAATAATAGAATTACGCGATTTCCACAGATCACCTGGCGACGTGACGCGCGCGCGCGACTCACCTTTCTCGCGACAATCGAACTCGTTACCATGTGCGGCTTTATTACGCGCGTGTTTATATACGCCGGAAACAAGGGCGTCGCGCGCGCGCGACGACCGACGACCCGATTAAAAAGTGCGATAGAATTTTCACGCAACAGCGTGGCCCAATAATCGATTTCCCGCTAGCATATCATGCAGCTCGATAACATGCACACACATACACACACACACACACACACACACAGAGGCGCACGCGCGGGGCGAGCTTTGGCGAGCGAGAAACCCACTTCCGCCGCGTTCCCGATTGCCCAACCCCGATAAAGAGCTCGTCGATCGGGCACTCGAGATCGCGACAAAACGTCGCTAATTGTCCCATCTACTCGCGCAGATGACCAGTCGTCCACGTTGTCCTCGTTGTCGTCGTCGTCGACCCATCGTTCATTGGATCGTTCGTGCGCTTTTCAAGCTCTTATTTTACATAGTTCCCCTGTTTTCTCTCTCTCTCCTCGCGCTCTTCATCCCGTATTTTTCACTATTTTTTTCTCTTTTTACAAAAGAAAGTAGTACCACGAAAAATATAGTACCGGTTTAAAAGTAGTTCGTTTTTTGTTATGCAAAAGAGTAGTAAACTATTTTTTATACAAGAGAGATAGTAAATATTATTCTCTCGAAAAAAAATTTAAATTTCTCACCAATATCCGCAGTGACTCCCGTCGGCATTTCTCTACACTTCACTCGATTGTATATCTTCGTTTTCTGATAAAAGTATTCAATATTCATGTGAGATTATTATCGCAAATACACAGCAGCATTTATTGCGATGAATGAGATCTTTCTGATTTTTTTTATTTCCTTTGTCCAATTGGCATTCGCATGTTGTTGTTAAGATAATCCCACACAGTGTGCCGTCTTTATATATGCTTTGACAGCTGACATTTCAGAGTACATTTTGTGCTGTAAGTGACAGTGTTTTTAAAAAAATAGTGCGGACTCATCGCAGATATTGGTGCGAAATGTAAACTTCACTTCGGGAGGATTATAAGAAAAAAAGCAGTATTATTTTCTTTAAAGTTGCTACTTTTAAAATAGCACTACTACTACTTCCTTTTGCGAACAAACAAATAAGCAAGAGGATAATCAATAATTTTTTGCACGTCACTAAAATCTTCAGCCGCGAGAGGTATATTTTAACAAGCCTTTTTTGCAGCGACGAGCGATCGACTCGCTCGCGCAGACGGCGCTTGCGGCGGCGAAATTTGCAGCTTTATGGATGGCTCGATTTGGATTCAAATAGAATTCGGGAAGGCCGAGGAAAGAACACGAGAGCCGGCTCGACCAAAACAACCGTAACGTTCAATTTATCAGGCCAATTTACCAAGTATCGCATTTCGTTTTGGCCGCAGACACTTTGATGAAGTTTAAGCTGATTTCCCCCACCGCGATGAAAATCCGATAGCGGATTCCGTCGCTCGTTTCTTTCTCCCCCGCCTCCTTTCTCTTTTTGTCCGCCTCTTTTTAATTTCAGCCCGGAAGGGAGCGCGCGGCGCGGCCGACGCAAATTAAACGCTCGGTCGGCGATCTCGCAATAATAATGTAAAACGGCAATAGCAAACGACGCACATAGATGACGGTGGATGACAAACGCGCGTCGGGTGTCACGCGGCGCAATGATATCGTATGTTGCAATGGGGACCGTGCCAGATAGTGACGAGTTGCTTGGATTTATGGGGCTCGGTCAAATGACAGGCGTCTCATAGAGGTGGTTTATCGATAGCGTTAAACCCATCGCGACGCGATGACGTTGTTGCTGCGAAATACGATAAAAATTGTCGAGCTCGCGGTCTATCGACCGCGCTCTGTTTCGGAGACAGCTTGATAAATCGGAGAAAAGGGATGAAAGAGTTCGAATGTGTAACAGTCTTGACGAAACATCTGTCCATGGGGAAAAAGATGTCAGTTCGCGCAACCGAACAGGGACTAGATGAAGATTCGGCAGCGCGAGTTGATTGCCTCTGTTACCACAACATTCGTCTGTGTTCAGGGGATGCCACAGTTGAAAACTATACCGATAGAATAATATCATTGATACCTTAAGCTGCCGGTTAGCGTATTTACTGATATAAGAGTTCTGCGGCTTGTACATACCGAAGAACATACCTTAGGAAAATTTTAAAAAATATTGCTTTACAATTGAATTTGGAAAATTAAATGTGTATAGAAAGTTTATAGAAAAATTTCTATACATACACGATTGTTTTCCAATAAATATGCTAATAAAACAAAGCGACATACGTTTATATAGAATCTATATGTACAGAAATACGAAAAGAGGATAGCGTGACTGTATTATGCCCGTTCCTATCAGCTTTGGTTAACTTAACTGGCTGGTTATTCCAATAGAATTGACATCAGTCGCATTAGTCAGAATTGACAGATGCGATTGGTCAGTTCCACTGAAATAATCAACCGATGAAGTTAGCCAAAGTTGGTAGAAACTAGCATTAGTGAAGTTTGCTTCTACATTATCGACATTTTTGGAGCTTGTCATCCACTTTGACATTTCTTGCTTGTTATAATTGAGAACAATTGACTGAAAAGAAACCTCCGCAGACTTATGTACACAGACTGCGCCTTTTTACGTGAGAGGTTCAAAGACAAAGTGTAAAGAACAGCTATGCTCGCATCTCAGACATGCTGTCTTCGTCGTGCAGCAAAACGTTTACGCGTCAGTCCCCACCGAGCTTCATTTCTTGCTAGCTTTCTGCAATAAGAGTAAAGCCAGATCGAATGGCACGTTCTTTTTAGGTGGGGTCTCCTGCGAAGCGCTCAGTCTATGTATATAAGTCTATAGAAACCTTATAATCTTCTGGAAACCTTACAGAAATCTTTCTGTTCCTGCAACTCAATTCTTCATCTGATCTCTATTTTTACCAGGCAACAGGAAATTCGGCGATGCGTTTCTCCGTGTGCAAACATTAATATTTCTATTCATATAGCTCACTGGCTCAATCTCTGACGTTGCCTCAGGCTTCTTACATGTATCTAGAATATCTAAACTGAAATTATCACAAAGTGTCAAGGGGATGGAATTAGGGGAAAGGGATGGCTTTCATGTAGCTTATATTATCCGCAGGGTCCTAGAGAGTAACTATGCAAAATTTAGTTCAGATCGGTCAAAGGGTTTAGAAGTTTATAGGAAACATGCAGATAGATAGACACACACACATATATATATATATATATATATATATATATATATATATATATATTCAACAAATGTGTGACAAATGATCCTATCACTGTACGTTCAATTCTCTCGATAAGATAACGTCAAAGCGAAGGTGTGCAATTTTTGCCAAGTGATCGTATTTCCTCCCCGCTTCCGTGGCTCCATCTCTGTCGATTCCTCATTGCCCGCATTTTAATTCAGATCCCTCGACTGTCGCAAGTAAAAGAGATATTGCAAAAAATATCGCCTCCTCCGCCAAGAATCGAAACATCAATCAGTTCACTGCGTCGGTTTCGCTTGCTTATTAATAATTAAGGAGAGAAGGAAGTGAGACTCGAATTAAAATTGTCGAGAAGAGAGGATCGACGACGGGAGGAGCAGGAGCGAAATACGGCATTTCGTTGTAGAAAACTCGCGAGTAAAAGAGAAACACTCGCTTTGACGTAATGCTCTCAGGAGAAGGAGGAAAGAGTCGCGCCAACATCCACGCCTCGGCTCTGCCCTACTTATCGCAGGTCCGGAAAGTTTTGACAATTTTAACAATTCAATTATTACAAGTTCGTTGAGCTCGCGCGCGCGCCGCCGTTGTCAACTCGTAATTCATCTCTCCGCTTTCAGACACTGGTGGCTGGGCAAGGTCTCAACGATGACATGTGGCACACCCTGAGGTTCTCCAGACGATCCAACTCGCTCAAGTTCCAGGTCGACGACGAGGCGGCGGTTCGAGGTGCGTATGCATGTTCGCGCGCGCACACAAACGCGAGTTTATTGTTATACGCGAAACGTTCATTCTCCCGGCTTGGATTTATATTAATATTTACGGGGCTTTGTGTGTAAGAGGCCGGCTAAATGTAAAATGTGATAAAGTGTCGGGAAATGGGAAGGAAAGCCGGTTAATTTAAACGGCAGACGTGAGCTGCATTATTAACGCACGGGGAAGGAGGGAGGGAGGGAGAGAGGGAACGGCGCGATGCCGCGTTCGGCGTGCAAAGTGCGGCAAATTGTATGTCGGTACCAGATGCAAAACAGTTGATTGGTTTTGGTGCAGCGACGGTGCGAGCGGCGTCATCGATCGCAAGGTGCAAAGGACAGCGGGAAGAAAAAGACAATTCTATTTCAGCGCGTTGACGGGAGATAGAGAATTCAAAAGCGCATTTCGTTTCGCCGTTGTACCTACCGTTGCGCGCAAACCTACCTACCTCGCAAAAAGCAATCGCTCCGTTGGATGTATATAGGAGGGAAACGCGAAATAACATCGGATAATTGATCGAGGACTATTTCGAGACAATTGTCGATTCTACACAATTTGTGTTTGTCACTTTATCTCGATCTGTTATTCTATCGTTCTCTTCTCCGCACCAATGATAAGCTGAAGTGTTGTTGTTGGTGCGCAGTTTGTAAAATCTCTCTCTCTCTCTCTCTCTCTCTCTCTTTCTCTCTTCGAGAGGATAACGTAAAAGCGACCTTTCGCTCTTCTCGTTTCACCTCTTTATTTACTTCATTTCTTCATCTCCTCTATGCTCTTTATTTTTTAAATTTTCATGTTTTATTTGCGCTTGGTAATTTTAATTCAAATCCCTCACTTCTCTTTCCCCCCAATTATCAGTAATGCAAATAAAGCCGATTCAGCAAACCGATGCCGGCGATTCTCGTGTTTGAGGCGATGTTCCTCCCAATATCAATTCTACTCGCGTTAGTTAGTGCATTCGGATGAAAATTCTATCGTTCAACTCAATTAGCCGGTCGATCCTTTATTCTTTTTAATTACAATCCGCGCGGACACGGGATGCATCGTCTCACAATACGAATCGCTCCTTCGCTTCTCGGCTCATTATGCGCTCGATTCTCACAAGCGTTATACACCCCGTAATTTCTCGGTAAACAGCCCGTAATAGAATTTCATAAAATGTACATGTGACCGCAAGTGCGGTAGCGATAAATCTATTAAGCGACGCTTGCGTAGCGCACACTCAAAGTATCGGCACGAACACCTTTGCTTTTACCGTAATCAATATACCGTTTTCCCTTCGCGTACACTAAAGCTGTTACACACGGCGGTAAGATCCCGTAATTAAAGCTGAATTTGGCGCAAACGCAGAGGAAGCAAAGGGTGCCTGGAGAAAATTGAATCGGGATCTCTCATGGTGTTTTCCTGACGCGTCTCTTTCTCTCTCTCTCTCTGACTGTCCCTAATTCTCTCTAACTCTGATTATCTCTTTCTCTCTCGTTCTTTTTTAGGCATATCCGTCATCTGATTGATTTCGAGATATTTATTTTCGGTGTTTTAGTTGATTGTAGTTTTATATTGTTACAAAGAAAGAAAGAGAGCTCGTATTGAGTCGGAATGTTAAATAAAATCTACTATCCGATCGCGGTTATACGTGGTCCATTTAAACACCAAACGTCGTATTATTTATTTGTTATACAATACCCGGTTATACAATATTCTGTCTTATTTATTGAAACATTTGTGTTTGTTTAATTAACGTTTACTGCGCGATAACTGTGACGATTTATTTAGAGATATAAAGTAAATATCCGGCGACGGAACGCAATGGATTATTCATTCGAGATGTTTTTAACCTGTACTCTTCAGCACGCGCTTTTACCATGCAGATTGCGCTCTCGTTCAATGTCTCCGCTTTAAAACAAATATCTCTCTCTTTGCCCGCTGTAAAGAGAGAATACTTACTTCGCTTTTATTCGTATTAAAAAAAAAAAGAAAATGGAACGTTAAAAATAGACGAAGAAAATAGACGCTACCATCGGCGAGGGACGATTCCTCGTGAGACTTGAACTCAGCCGTTACTCGGCCTGTAAAAATGGCAACAACGCGGACTATAAAAACAACTTTTTCACTGAAATCTTACACGTCACGTTACAAGTTTCCGGCGGGAGAAGGAAAAAAATCCCCCAACTCCTACTACTCCTGCCGTGACGTCTCTCGATGCGGGCACTTTGTACGTCACATCGATTGCGCTGGCTCGAGTAAGGATCCTTATGCATCGTATGCATGTGCACGTTCGAACTTCTCGCCACAAGGCGCAGGAGCCCACGCGAGGGAGCAATATCGTATTTCAAAATCCCTATTTAGCATAAATACCTGACGGCGGCCGCGGAATTCCACGCCAGCCGGAGAGCAGGGCGAGAAAGAAGTCGGAAAATATATATATATATATAAATATATATATATATATATATATATATATATATACCGAAAGAGAGACACGTGATTCTACAGAATGCAAAAACGACGTGAACGCAGGATCGCATTCCGGCCTGTCCTTTCGTGCGAATGCGAACCTTTCCGCGCACTCATCGCATGATTAATCGCGAGACTCGCCTCTAACCCCGTAATTCTATTTAATTCCTATTATTATTCTCGGGAGAACGGGGGGG